TGTTCACCGAGTGTCTTGATGTCGAAATTTCTCCATACATCACATGCATGATTGTAATCTTTATCTGATATTTTCTCATCATTCAATCGAGAATAAAAGTCTTCTTTCCGAGGTCATTGGCGTTCACTTAATTTCCCCCATGAATCTAAGTATTCGTATGGGAAAACGCCTTTGTGTGTAAAGAGTTCGAATTGTCGTTTTGGGGGGTAATAGTTGTGATTCTCTTTTTTCATCCTCTAAATATGACGAAAGTTGATCAATACTGCTTACCATAAGACGGAATGAGTCAATGAATCTCAAGTGGACTCCTGTCGATTTGACCGATTTAGTGAAGGAAACGTATTTCTCTTTATTAATTGGGTTTAATTTCACTGCGCCTTGGACTTGTTTCGCAAGAGATTTAATAAAACAATGTGAGTCATAACCTGAGAAATTGTGAAAAACTACTGGGATTACACACGATTCCGTATAATTCAGATTACAGCCGGGATGAGCAGCACCACGATATTTGCCTGTTAAGTGGCAATGATCACGATGCTTCACTGCTTTTTCGGTGAATGCTCTGTCACAAATATAACAATTTTTAGCTGCATTAAATGCTCGCTCTTATCGGCTCATTTCTCTGTAATTCAGCATCAACTTTTATAGCTAAAATACGTAGCTGCTAAATAAACCACTCTACACAGTTTTTTCCACGATAAATAGAGAGTTCCGATTTTGAGTTATCATAGCTACATTTCACATAAAATGTAACACTGAATGGTATATGATTTTATTATGTTTTGGAATTTATCTCATTGTCATCGGACACTTCTTCCAATAAACATTCAGTAGCAGCGTATACAACAAATGGAACAGTCAGTTGATTTTTGAAATTTTGAAATTTTAAATATTTTTCACCACGATGAGAAAAAATCATTCGACACTTATTGATTGATACACAATCGACCCTATGATTAGTGTAGGCCTCGCGAATTAATTAATCAAACCGCGAATTAAACCGCGAATTAATTAACCCTTTCTTCACTTCGAGGGAAAACCGCGAATTAATTCATCAAACCGCGAATCAAACCGCGAATTAAACCGCGACCCCGCGAATCAAACCGCGAATTGAACCGCGAACCCGCGAATTAATCAACCACCCGCCCACCCACTTTCATCTGACCCCCCCTACTGGGCCCCAACGACCAGGTCGACGCTAAAAACGTTGTGCCAGAACCGGCATTACTACACTACTCACCCAGATTTGGCAAGCCCAGGTTTGTGCTACACTTGGCCTGTTTTTTCAACATTGGCTTTATTACCTGGGATATCCAATTAGAAATTTTGCATTGAGTCCTTTGAAGTTGCATGTCCTCTGAAGCCATCCAGCATAAACCTCAATTTAGTCGCGATTTTCGTAAGTTACAGATGAACAAATTTCGAACATGAATTATGAATCGTTTGTGAACTATAAAATATAAAATATCAAATATATTAGGTCGAGAAGCAATCTACGTACTTCAAAATGGTTTGTGAATCACTGCCGTATGTGCAAAAAATGAAGTAATTGATGAAAAATATTCTGGTCCCTATTTTATTGATTTCAAGTTTCATCTTTGATATTGAAATTGATTGACTGATATGGAAATGTGAATATTCTTGCTCTAATCGTTATGATTTTTTATTACGATTTGAATTTATGGAAATGAAAATTTGAGATTACTTTTTTCTTATTTCAGAGAGGTCCAAATAAAGTACCAGTGTACGCAATGGTTGTGGTAGCAATAGTAACCCTGACATTCATCATAACTGGTGAGATCAATACGTTGGCACCGATCGTGACAATGCCCTTCTTATTAACATACGCGTGTATGGATTACGCTTATTTCGCACTGGCACAAACGTTTGATCTTCAGCACACCCGTGAGCAACGATTTCGGGCACAAACTCCGACTTTTGAACGTAATTATGGGACAACTGGGCGCAATGAGGATACCACATCAGAGATGGACAATGATTTAGATACACTCTTTCCGGAGAGGACGAGGCATAAGAATTTAGTGGTAAGTTATTTTTCGAATGAAAGGAAATGAATGAACAAATTACTCAATTAATCATATTACCAAAGTGAAGACTAGTCCAGAACCAACAAAAAATGCTCTGAAAAAAAAAATTTTATGCAAAAAAAATGGATGATTGATATTTTTCCAATATCCTTGGAAGTTTAAAGAAATTAGTGGAGAGTTTAAAGAAATTAGTGGAGAGGCTCTTTTGAAGGGAGTTTTTTAATTAGTGAATAGGTTTGTTGAAGCCATTTATACGTAGCAATTCCAGAGATATACCAAAAATAATCTCTACAAAAATGAAAAACCCATTACCCATAAATATTTTCTACCTAATTTTTCTCATTACATAGATTCGCATTGGAATATTAATTTCATTAATCCTCCAACTTCTTTGAATTTCACAACTGGTTGATGACTAAAGACTTTAACGAAACCATGTGAGAATTAGTAGAGAATTGAGTAAGAGTTACTTTGATTAGACGATTGGACAGAAAAGAGAGAGTCCAGTGAGAGTTCACGTAAGAGGGCACCTCTCCTTGAATTCTTTACACTTTTTGATGGTTGATTGTTGGATTTTAAGCTCGAAGTGTAACACCCACTCAACTCTCTACTATTTTTGGATAATTGACTGTCTAGTTTTCGGGGCAAGTGAGATTCATACATTCTGACTCTTACATTTTCAAATCCTTACTGCTCTCGATCCTTAGGTTTTAACCCTTGACATTTCTGAGCCTCAAAAATGTTGAAACGTCAAACTTTTGAACTTTATTATTCCTGACTCTCAAAATGAGGACACTTTTGAGACAGTTATTGTTCATGACCCTTAGATTTTGACCCTTAAAAATATTTAATCATCGAACTTTTGAAACTGATTATTTCGGACCCTTGAAATGTGTCAACCCTCTAAAATTTCGAGAAACTGGGGGGTTGGCGTCCGAAGCTTGGTGGGGGTAACTCTCTACTCTCTACAATTTTTGGAGCGTAGATAGTCAAGATCGGATGCTTGGTGGGGGCAACTCTCTAGTATCTACAATTTGTAGAGAGTAGATAGTTGGGTTCAAATACTTTCGCCATACCCGTAAAATAGGGACCCTTTGCACACCCTTGTTGTTCCTGACCCTTAAAATTGCTGACCCTACAAAATGTTGGAACATCAAATTTTGGACACTTATTTTTTCTGACCCTTACAATAAGGGTCCGTTGCAGACTTCATGGTCGTGGTCCTTAGATTGTGACCCTTAAAATTGCTGACCCTAAAAATTTGGAAACGTGGAACTTTTAAACCTTAAAAAAATTTCAAATTTCACCGGTTTTTCGTTGCAAGGGTTAACATGCCACCGCGGCCATCGCCCGAGGGCTTTCAGCCAGGGAATGTTGAATTTGGAGTGGATTTTTCACTTCGAAATTCCGTGGAATACTCAGTTTGAAAATTGTGTTGAATTTTCAGCCGAGTATTATGTAGAAAATTGTGATGAAAAATTGGTGTGGAATTTGGCCCGGCCGGGGCTCGCACCTGGGAGCTTGAGGTTGTGAATCTCATGTTGCTTCCAAATGCGCAACACAGCCGGGTTTTTAAACCTTATTTTTTCTGACTCTTAAAATCAGGGCAACTCTCTACTCTCCACACTTTTTAGAGAGTCGATAGTTGGGATCGAATGCTTGGTGGGGGCAACTGTCCACTCTCTAAAGTTTCTAGAGAGTAGAGAGTTATACCCACCAAGCATCCGAACCGAACTATCTACTTTCTGGAAACTTTAGAGAGTACACTGAGAAAAAAAATTTTTTGTCAAATATTCATTTACTTGAGAGAAGTATTTCTTTTTTCAAAATCGTATTTCTCCAATCGAGTCATTCCCAGGTGAGCCTGATTAGGTTTCAATTATAACAATCATGGTGCTTTAAAGGATGATTATGTTCCACATGACCTTGGGGGGACTCCCCTAATGATTATTCACTTCTCCTAAATTTCGTATTTTCTAGAGAGAAGAATTCCGATCAATTTTTTAATGTTGATAATTATTGAAGGAGGTCACTCAAGGTGATAACCAACAGGTTTATCTTCTAGAGCAATATAATTGACATAATTAAACCTAATGAGAATTGCCTGAGAATGGCTCGAATGGAGAAAAACGGTGTTGAAAAAATTAATTCTTCCCTCAAGTAAATGGATATTTGGCAAAAATATATTTTTTTCTCAGTGTAGACATTACATTAAAGAAAAGAATTTATATAGCGTTCCACATCTTTGTGACGTCATAGGAAATGGTTGGATGGGCTTAGGATGAGGAAGGAGGGGAACCGGGGTTATTCTCAATATGATTAACCAGAAAGTTTGTACTGAAAAAAATGGATAGTCCAGACGGGGATTGAAACCAGGGACTTTCCGATTAAAAGTCAAAAGTTCGACATTGCAATATTTTTAGAGCGAGCAATTTTGAGGATCAAAATCTAAGAGTCAAGAATATGAAGGGTCTGCAAAGGATCCAAAGGATGTGAAAGGTCAGTAAAAATGAGTGTTAAAAATTTGATATTCCCACATTTTGTAGGGTCAGCAATTTTAACTGTCAGGAACAACAAGGGTGTGCCAAGGGTCAGCATGTTGCGGGTCAGAAAGTATTTGAACCCAACTATCTATTCTCTAGAAATCGTAGATTGTAGAGAGTCGCTCCCACCGAGCATCCGACCCCTACTATCTACTCTCTAGAAACTGTAGAAAATAGAGTTACCTTCACCAAGTATCCGATGTCAACTAGCTACTCTCCGGAAATTATAGACAGTAGAGAGTTACTCCCATTAAGCTTCCGACCCCAACTATCCACTCTCTAGAAATTCTGGAGAGTAGAGAGTTGACCCATTTCAAGGGTCAAAAATAATAAGTTCCAAACGTTCGATAAGTCAATATTTTTAAGGGTCAAGAGCAGTGAGGGTCTGAAATGCAAGGGTCAGAATGTATGAATCTCACTGGCTCCCAAAACTGGATACCCAATGATCCAAAATCGTAGAGAGTTGAGTGGATGTTACACTTAGAGCTTAAAATCGAACAATAAAACTATAAAAAAGAGTATAGAATTGGGTGATTGTCATTCCAGTAGCTTAAAACCCATCATTCAACTATCCAAAAGAGTAGAGGGTTGAGTGAGAATTACCCCCTGCATTCACAACTTAACAATTAACTATCAAAAAGTGTAGGGAAAGGTGCTCTCTTACATGAACTCTCAGAGAATACTCTTTTTTCTCTCTAGTTGTGGAGACATACTTGGACTCGGCCTCCAACAATTTTTAACACATGCATGTATTACACGATATTTATTCCATATGTACTTTCACACATGATGAAATGATACGCAAATGATCCGAAGAAATTATGTTTATTTATCCACAATTATTTTTCCACATAGTTCCACATTTTTAACACGGATATCTTCTGCACATCTATATAACCCACGTGATCTATCGCCACACAAATGTTGTGCACACTGAAGTTTAGCACGGGCTCCTTGAACAAAAATTTGAAATACACACGAGAGTTTTACAAGTTCGAAATTTACCCATGAAGATTCCATTCATCACTAATTAACAAAATCATTTTAAATACCCGCCGTTTATACACAATGAGAAATAATACATAATTTTTCTCATTACACGTACCAATGAGTGGACATTCAAACCAAACACAATACTATGATCCACGTGAATGGTTTACACACTGCAATTTTCCACTTTTTTTTCATCCGAGAGAAAAAATACGAGTTGCCTCCTTGCGTTACATGCTATTTTTTAGATATTTGATGAAGTAGTTACTCCGACGATTTTTATACATGAATATTAACACACATAAGGTATGCACCGACTAGATTCCCACACAGATATCTTTTCATCCTAATTATACAATGTGTAATTCGATTCACACCAAAATCGGACGTCTAATCAAAAATTGCTCGTGTGAAATTCCATTTTTCACCTGTGTTATTTTATTTGACCAATGTGTAATTCCAATTCTAACGCGTGTAATTTTGTTTGTCCGATCTGTGATTTAATTTTGTCGGAGAGTAATTAAAAATTACAAAAAATGATAGATTCACAAAAATTCGTTCTGCTAAACGTAAATTATGTTTTGCTAAGCATAAAATACGCGTTGTTTAGGCGTAATTTACGTTTTGATAAACGCAAAATACGCTTTGTTTAGGCGTAATTTACGTTTTTATTTAGACCGTGAAATATGCTTTTTTAAAGACTAAATTCCGATTTTCATGACGGAAAGAAAGCCACCAGACATCATATTGACGTTAAGCGTAAATTACGTTTATCAAAACGTAATTTACGTTTAGGTTTTTTTGTGTGCCCATTCACCTCAGAGGGTTAAATCATGCGCCAAGTCCATCCTAGACGCTTTTTAATTACTCCTCGAGGAATAAAAGTCTCCCTAGAATCTTTGATGTATTTTCGAATGGTCATGATCATTCTGACCACTTCATATTGGATTCTCTTAGCGAAAAATCCTAGCAAACCCTATAGATGTGAGCGGAGGGGGGGAGCAGATAACCGTACTTAGGTTTCGGGTGTAGTACAATCGACTCTCTTTAGCTCTCCACTTTCGGGGCTCGAGATTCACTGTGACTATTGAAGCGATAATCCCTTGGCTCGGTGATGCTGGGAGACCTAGAGACGCGAAAAGCTGGGCCCATTTTTTTCAATAGAAAATGTTCAACATAAAACCTTTTATTGCAAAGAAATCCATCGGATTTTATCTTTTTATAGAATTTATTTTATTGGGACTTTTACGTTAGAAATTCGTTCACTCGATTTGTTCATGTTTTTCATGTCGGATTTTGATAAAAATTTGTTGATTCGAACCCTAATATGTCACACCCAACCCGGGGGTGAACGACCCTCCTCTGATTTTTTAATATGTAATAAGTTTTCTCCACAATTTCTTCTATATTTTCAATTGTTTGTGATAAATATTGGAAAATGGCTAATTTAAGAATTGTCTGTTC